CTAATCTGCAGGGCGGCTCACCAGACACATCAGTCCTTACTGAAGCTCTGTTCTGTGGAGCAGGGCAGGGTGTTTCGCTTCACTAGGAAAGGGCATGGAGGCCGCGGGTGAGCCGCTGAGCAGCAGGGATCTGGCTTTCTGGGCACTGCAGACTGTAATTTATCTCCATGAGGAACTGAAGGGGTTTTAGAGGGGAAAAAATGTCATGAAATTAAATGGCAGTGTTGCCTCGGCATCCTTACAAACAAGCTTTACCTGCTGTTCATTCCCATCTTGGTTGCAAAGGCCATCACTTACCTGAACAAAGGCTTGGAAGGATGCTGGGAGCAGTTGTCAGGGAGCATGAAGGGCCCAGTCCCCAGGGGAGTGGATCTGTCAAAGGGCCTTGGGATACTGCTGCACTTGGAAATTGCCACCAGCCTCAGTGCTGGAGTACCCCAAGGATGCTCAGGGAGCCATGCAGGCTGGGGTGGGCTGGGTGGGCAGTACAGCTGACCCCCAGGGTAGCTGGTCCTGCCTGTTCCTCCTGGTGCTCAAGTCTGGGTTCTGGCTGCACTGGCCCAGAAGGTGCCTGGGAGAGAGGGCAGAGTCTGGTTTTGGCACATGGAGGGACTGGCCATTTCCAGTCCATGGCTCTTTGGTGTTTCTGCTTTGCCTGGGCTCTACCTCTGGCTAAGGCTCTGGGATTCTGGTACCTTAGGAGCCCAGAGAGGTCCAAGCTCACCTTGGGCTTTGCAAGCTGATATGTAGGTCTTGGCTTTCAGGTTGGGCAGTTTTAAATTAAGCCTCTTTGCTCTGTCTATCTGCAGTACCAGAGATTTCCCAACTTCTGTTTACACATTGCATTCAGAGTAATGTTAGGTATGTTTAAAGGAAGGTGACATGAGAGTCCTGCTGGGAACCCTCCCTCGCCAGGAGCTCGGATGGGTGCCTGAGGAGCTTCCAGGCAATCTTCTTCCAGGCAAGGAACCTTTAAGACATTTGGAGAAAACGAATCCTGGAGCTGTGGTTTCTCCCTGCCCTTAGCTGACTCCGAGGCTGTGGCCCATCAGGTGGGCACACGCCTGCACGTACCAAGCCACCACATGTGACACATGAGACATGTGGCACACCCCAGTGCTTCATTCCTGGGACTTACATGCTGGCCGTACAGGGAGCTGGAAGAGCAGTGGGGCTGCAGAGCCCGAGTGTGGGTTTCAGTTTAATCACTGGGGCTGAGGAACCTCTATTCATTCCCGCTTGCATTCATCTGTGTCCTAGTAACGTGCTCTCCCAACCTCCTTCCCAACACAGGCGCACACCGCTGGATAATGGCAGGAGCCCGGCAATCTTTGCGCTGAATAGCGGTGTAATTACGAGGCTATAATGGCGAGCTGGAACTCATTAGCCATTATCAGCCGTTTCAGCAGGACAATGACAGCACCCCGGGGTGCGCGGCTGCGCTGGGTACAGCCAGCAGCCCTACACGCTGCTCGACGGCCCGAGGCAAGCCCGCTGCTGACCTTGGCCCCTCGCATGGCTGCGGAGCTCGGTGGAGGGAGGCTTTGGTTCTGAATGGGAATGATAGACTTTGTATTCAGCCCTTCATGTGTCACAGGGCATTCCCGCTATCAGGACTCAGGAAGTTACAGAGCCCTGGGTGCTGGAGTCCTGCCCGGGCACCCCAACCTGCTCTGGGGTGGCACCCTCCCGCCTCTTCCCTTCCCCAGCAGCTCATCCCTCCTTTGACTGCCTCCCCCTCCTGTAGTTTGTTTTCATTTCTGTGTCCGTGTTCAGTGCAGACAGTGGATCTCCAGTCTTCCCCAGCCCTTGTGTTCCCATGGGCATCCTCTGTCCCCAGCGCATGCTGTGGGCAGACTGGCCCCATGGCAAGGAGCAGACACTGCTGTGCCTCATGCTGCCAAGGGGGGAGACTCTCTCCTGCAATGGGGGGTTGCACAGGGACCCCTGGCTCTGTAGAGTGTGGGTCCCAGGGCTAATGGTCCTGCTCTTCCTACAGTAATCACACCCCATAATGTGGAAAGACACGGCAAAACTAAGGCTGCGAGGTGCAAATCTCTGCAGCTCCCAGCTCAATGTATTTTAAAGCTGGATAATCCTAGCAGGAGCATGATGGAGAGCATGGCTGGGGAGAAGTGGGGGAGGTAGAGCCGGCAGGCTGGGAGCAGAGCCCCTGCCATGTGTGTGTCCAGCAGTGGAGCACACAATGTCCTGGTGCTCAGCAGAGTCTGGGCAGGACAGATGTCATGGGGTGTTTGTAGGCATCCCTTACTTCCACCAGCAGGGAGAGAAAGGAGGGACAGCATCTCTCTTCTGGCTGGATTGCCTGTCCCTGTGCTCCCCCAGGCTTTTGCTTGACAGAGTGATGCCACAAAGCATCTTGTCCTGTGCATCTCTTGGCAGGTAAAACTTGAAGTGTGGCTTATTCTCTGGGTAGAAGGTGTGCAATGCCTGCACACTGAACTGATTGTGATGCATGTGGGTGTCTTGCGGCTGGATATTTGGAGGGATCCTGCTGTTCTGGGGGACATCTGTTAATTTTCTTATTAGTCCTGCCTTCTCTGGGCATATTTGTATGTTTGGGATGACCCCACCAGGTGTTTGCTGCATTTCCAGAGCAGGGTGACATGCATCAAGTCAGGCTTATTTCATTGCTGAGGGCTCTAGGGCTTCTGTCCCAAGGGGGGCATCCCTCATGGGGACACAGGGAGCCGGACAGCCCCTTCCTCTTGTTGCTGTATGATCCATGAAAGATGGCAGCTTACACACACACTACTGGCCAGACAGATTTCTGCATGCCCAGCACTGCTGGCTGTTGAGGATGAGGGTCCTCTCTGGAGCCAGTGGCCAGCCCTGCCATTCCTGGTGAGGAGCACAGAATTGCATCAGCCACTGCTGTCCTTTGGGCCCCGTCTGCCCTTTTTGGGGAGGTATTGGGGAAGCCCAGTGCCTGGCCACCTCCTGACCGCTTCTTTGCTGATTTCTGTCTCTCCTCTCTGCAGGGAACTCAATGGCAACAACATAACGCGGATCAACAAGAATGACTTTGCTGGCCTGAAGCAGCTCCGCGTCCTGTGAGTTTCTGATGAGGGGCTGCCTGCCCCGACCCTGGCAGATACTGTGCTTGGCTTATGGCCCCTCCTGGGGCTGCAAGAGATGGTCAGCCTCTTGCTTGGGGCATCTCCCAGCAGGGCTGGAGGGTATTGCGTTGAGCTGAGTGTGGTGGGCTTCCAGCTGGAAGAGAGAGGGGTGAAAGAGATTGGGTTGTGTTGAGGAGATAGTGGGTGAGGTGGTCCTGGGTCAAGAGGAGTGATGGGGGCACTGGGGACCACCTTTCCAGAAAGCTGACCCCCTTCTCCCTGCAGGCAGCTGATGGAAAACCAGATCAGCACAGTGGAGCGTGGAGCGTTCGATGACTTGAAGGAGCTTGAGCGCCTGTGAGTGCCTGGGCACGGAGGCGGGTTGATGGGGGCCCACTGGGTTTAGTTGCAGAGAGCATCCTTTCCTTTTTGCCTTAAACGTATTGGTGCTGCTGGACTTCAAACAGCTTCTCTTCTGCATGGCAGCAGTATTTTACAGTGTGAGAAGCAAAGTCTTTTCTGATGCTTTTGAGGTGAGGAGCAGGTTAAACAGAAATCTTGCTGTATCAGCTGTCCTGTGTGTTAGCGAGGGAGCCCTAAGTTCTGGTCCAGTACTCAGTAAAATAGCTCAGCAGTTTAAAAATCCCAAGCTGCTAGAGCAAATATGAGGAGCTGAGCGAGCAGCAGGTTAAGAGTGCAGTTAAGCAGCAGTCAGCAGATAACAGCTTGGAGTCCTCTCTGCATGTAATTACAGCATTGTGAGTGAGTCTATTAATGCCCTGTTGGTTGTCCCCACCTGGGAGTGTGGTGGGCGGGATGGGGGTGTCCTTGCCAGGTGGGATGCTCTGCTCTCTTGGCCCCCCTGAGTGAGCCAAAGCACCCAGCTGTGCCTGCCACAGCCGGCTGGGTTGCAGGTGGGGTCATTGCTTTGCCCCCCTCAAACCCTGACGCTTTCTTTTTTCCCTGCAGACGGCTGAACCGCAACCAGCTGCACACCCTGCCTGAGCTCCTCTTCCAGAACAATCAGGCGCTCTCACGGCTGTAAGTACCTTCCATGCCTGTGGGGCTCCCCTGCCTGGTGGTGGAATGGGCTCACTTGTGGGACTGCATGGGTTTTGGAGGGCCACTGATGTCCCGGGAGGGTGCTGCTTCTGGAGGGTTGTGCTTGTGTCTTGTCCCAGTGATGACTCAGCGTGTGGCAGGGGAATGCACCCTGTTTCTGTGTGACCTAAGCATGCAGCATGTCAGGAAATTCGCTGTGACTTCCAGAAGATCTGAGACTGGCTTTGTTAGGGATGTTCTTGTAGTGCATGGGTATGTGGGAGAAGGTGCTGGCAGTTTGGGCTGTGTTCCGCATCGCAGAGCTGTGCCTGTACAGTGTCAGCTGCAGAGCTGCTGTGAGCTCCACAGCCTGGGTGTGGATCACAGGCTCTGGAGCAGGGTGCCCTTAGAGGCTAGACTAGGCTGTTATGAAGGGAGGGTGATAGAGGATGTCCCTAAGGGGGTCAGATCCTGTGCAGAGACCTCCATAGGGTACAGAGAGCCTCACAGCCCTGCTCAAGAGCTGCCTTTCTGTGGGTGTCTGAAGCAAGAGGCAGAAGCCCTGCCTGGGGCAGATCCAGCCCCTCATGCTTGCTGCTCCCTCCCCACACTGCTCTGCCTGCCCCCATCTCTGTCCTCTGCACCCGCAAACACCCCTAGGGACTGTCTCTTGTCCATAAAGCCTGAGCTCCGCAGACCTCTCTGCTCTTCCTCCCTCTGTGCATCAGCAGGCTGCCTGGAGAGGGCTGCTGGGGTTTTGATAAATATTCTCTTTTCCATACTGTCTTTCTCTTGCCTGGGGCTGCTTTGCTTGGGCAGTGGTGCTGTCAGCAGTGCCAGCATTGTTCAAACAAAGCGTTTACAGGCTCTCAGCTATGTCAGGCACCACATATATTGGGAAGGGGACTGTGAGAAGGAGAGGATGTGTGCCAGACTGAGGCTGGTGCTCTGCATCAGTCAGAAAAGCAGCTTAAACCCTGTGGCTGATTTGCAGTGCGTTAGAGTGGGGCAGTTGTAGCTGGGACACAAGCTTTCTGCTTGCTGCATCTTGTATCTCCATTTCTCAGCAGTGAGATGAGGATGCCAGGTCCCTGCTGGGTCAGGGCAGGAATGGGCTGAGACATTTCCAGGACAAGCATGGCCATGTTGGGGCCAGGCAGCCCTGCCCGTACGGGCCAGCTGTGGCTGATCCGTTTTCTTCTGACAGTGCCAGGGAGTCAGTCCTGGAGTCCAGCCGGAGGCGGTGTAATGAAGGGTTAAAACGCCGTGTGGGTTGCCAGCATGGGATGTGTGAAGTGGTGGACAGGCGCCAAAGATGGGCCTAGGTAATGGCAGCTGATAGCACAGGCGTTCAATTAATTATCAAATGGCATTTGTTGAGCTCAGCTGTGCCATATCGTGGCGCCAGCAAGGGCCCATCCTCCTCCAGCCACCCATTGCATAACAGAAACATGGGCAAGAGAGTTATTTTCCAAACATCAATGTTTCCCTTTTAATTTTGTCTAGATTTTAATACCAGTTTTTTCAAAAAGCAAACCCTAACAATTGATCAGAAAGATGAAGAAGGGCAGCTCTTGGAGGGGCTGTATAGTGTGCTCCTCCACAGCCTCCAGGCTCGTGTGGAGCCAGGGCTGTACCACGGTGTGCATGGGACTGTACGTTCTGCCGTGGGTTATGAGAGGGCTATGCAAGATGCTCCTTGCAGCCACCTCGTGCTCAGGTGCATTTCAGCCTCTTCCTGTTGTTTTACTGCAATGTGGTAATTGTTTCAAACCTGTTCCCTCCCACCCTGTCTTGAAGCTGTTTTCTGGCTGTCTCTGATGTGGAAAACTCTGCCTGGACACCACCACCTGGAGCTTTTTTTTGCACAACCTCGGGCTTTGAGCATGGGCTCAGATTTTGCAGCTCCTTTACTATAGCTGGTGCTGTGTCTTGGTGAACTTTGATGCTCGCTTGGAGCAGAGGGTCCCTGCAGTGAGCTGTGGGACTGGCGACAGGGGACACACTGAGCCACCTGCCACTCTCCTCTGCAGCACGTTGCCCAACACTCATTAGTGAGGGCAGGGTTGCAGCACTGGGGTCTGCCCAGGGAGCACACCAGGAGCCACTGCCCTGGCAGAGCCTTGAGTTCTGCATTTGGGCAAGCAGAGCCCTGTGTATCAGAAGACCTGCTGCTCCCTCTCCTCGATGGTGCCTGTTGCTGAGGTGCTTAAGAATGTTTTGGGGGGGACAGTGGGGCAGAGGGTGCCTGGGGCAGCTAGTCTAGACACATATGCTGGCTTAGCATGATCTGGACCAGTGGTAGTCCAGCCGGTGCCGGAGGTCATAAGGACAGTCTTAAATTGCTGCAAACCTGGTTCAGGCTACGGGGATATGAGTCAGTGGGGAACAGGTTTAAGCTAAATTGAAATCAGCTTGCCTTGAACCGAAATTGGAGCCTCCTCACCGGGCTTTGCACTTATTTAACTGCTGAAATGGATCTGGGGTGGCCCCACTGCTCAGTGACCCCTCCCTGCCCCAAGAGCAGGCTGGGACCCGTGCTAGTCCAGGAAAAGAGGGTTCTTACCACAACCATGCTCTTGCAAATCCTGGTCTCCAGACCATTTCCAGCAAACAGGGCCTGTGCAGGCTTCTTCTTGACCTGCCCACTGCAGCCACCTGTGGCATGCTCCTCAAGTGTCTGGAGTCCCTGCTAGCTCCTCACGTCCTCACAGCATTGTACTGGGAGGTCTTGAATTAGCAAAACCTGGCTGAATGAGTCTGGTTGAGATCTGTTTAACTGGGAAATGAGGCTGCCAGGTGGAAGCTGAAGCAGAAAGCCAGGGGTGGATGCAGGAACCAGTGGGAGTTGCTTATCTAAGTACATGGATGCTGGACTGGATGCTCCAGCCTCTTCTAGATGTAGGCTTGATGCACATTTTGCAGCACATAAGTAACATGGCAGCAGATTATGGCAAGATTATGGCAGCACATCAGTGACATGACAGCAGATTATGGCAAGTCTGTTGAATTAGGGATATGCGCTACCCATAAGAGCAGTTTCCCACTGTACCTTGAGCCTGATGAAAATCTCTCATGAGCCCAAGAGGAGGCCCTCAGGCTCAGGTCGGGATGGAGAGCTCTTTGTCCGCCTCCTGGGTCTGAGTGTCAGAGCTTAATCCACGTTGGTGGTACTTTGTGGTCTCCCAGCCTGGCTCAAGCTGCAATTAGTTACTCGGATCTTGGCTGTAAAGAGCATTTGTGCATCGGGATAATGGAAAGGGTTGGAGTTAAACCTGATCCGCTGGGGCTTAAATAAACTGGGGAATGGCAGGAAAGGGCCAACAGAAAGCAAACCTCGAATGGGGGCATGGGGGAGGTGAGATGCCTGGAGAGGAACGTTTTCCCCTCGGAATTTGGGAATATTAAGCTGACGCCTGCCCGAAGCCTGTCTTGGTCTGAGATGGGGGGGGGGAGGCTGTGCCAGCACCTTGGCAGTGGGGCCAGGAGGCAGGGGGACGCTCCGCATGGCCTCCCTTATTTATGTCTGCCACAACAAGCGGGTAACTCATTAAGCATCCCCGTTGGCTGGAAATGGTGCTGATCTGAGGTTTCGCTGAAGAGCGCCTGACCCCGGTGACCCATTCTCAAACTGGGTTTAATTAAACTGTCAGCACTGGACAGAAGAACAAAGCGTCGTGGGCCTGGGGGGGGGGGCAGGGTCCCCCGGCAGCTCACTGGGGAAGAGCACATCTCCTAGGAGGTGGAGAGCTGATAAAAAATGAATCTTTCCTTCCATCATGGATTACCCAGGCAAGAAGGTGACCTCTGCTATTGCAGTGCCCAGTGCTGGTCCCCAGTGCACTACAGCCATACACACCTTGGCTCAGCACCAGTGCCTGGCATGCCAGGAGCCCTGGTAGGCCTTCCTTCAGCATCTCTCCCAAGCTGGCAGGAGATGTTTTTTTTCTTGGGTTTCCTTTCCCAAAAGAGAAAGCAAGCAGAGTTTTTCTCTGCTCCCATGGGAAAGATGGGGGAAAGATGGGAGAAGAGTTTTGTAGCATTCTCTCTCTTTTCTGCCCACCTCCCCTTAAAACCTCCTCCTGTTTCTAAGCCCCTTTGGGGGTCCTGCTTGAGGGAAGCGAGGAGGAGAGAGGAGTCTGGGATGGCTGTAGCAGCAGGGTGAGGACAGAAATGCTGTGGGCGCATCATCAGGGAGGCAAAGACGTGGGCTGTCGAAATGTGCTAAAGGCAGCCAGGATGGCTATAAATAAATGGTTTTCTCCAAGGGAAGCCGAGCTGATGCGAGGGAAGAGAGAAGCAGTGGGTGCTTGGCTGTGAGGAGCTCTGGGGATATGCTCCTGCATGGAAGCTGCAATCCCGGATGGATATATCCCCTCAGGAGCAGCTGCCCAGTGGTTTTCCTCAGCAAAAGCTGCAGCAGCTGCTCTGTGCTCAGACAGAGTGGGAGCTGAGAAAGGGTGAGCAGAGAGTGTGTGGGGAAAAAAGACTTGTCTTCAGAAGGAAGAAGATTTAGGACATGGGCTGAAGACTGTCAGCTCCTGTTGAACCCATGCCAGCAAAAATGGTGGAGGAGATGGTGCCACGTCCTAGCTGGCAGCCAAGCCCAGGGGGAAGGGCTGTGGTGCTGCTCTGCGGTCTGTAAGGGCAGGGGCTCCCTGGAAACAGCATTAACATCTCAATCAGGGCTGGTGACTTTCTGAGCTGGGGACATGTGAAATGTTGTAGGAGCTCGGGGGATTGTCACGCTCCTGTGAGACTCTCTTTCTGCAGCCGAAGCCTGCAGAGGAATAGCAATGCTCTACAACTACCTCTGGGAGTTGACAGAGGGACCAGGGGTATTGAAAGATCTGGGTGATGATGGAGTTCTGAGCTGAGTCGCAGAGAGCACTGCACGGTGTCCTGCCTGGGAAGGAGAGATGACGTTATTGTGAGCTCTGGAGCTAGTTCCTCGCACCACCACTGAATTTGGCTAAACCCAGCCCTAATTGCCTTTAGAA